ACAAAAGACAAGAAGCAAGACACTCCCACTTCAGACCCTCTCTTTGTGAAGAAAAAGAAGAAGGGAGGAGGAAAGGGAAAGAAGCAGGAGGAGGACCCTGTCGACTAGATCCATCAAGTATGACACCTTGCTTTGAGGAAGCAGACCTCACTCAGAGCATCTCGTTCCAGCAGCTGGTCTCCTCATTCTTGAGGCTCACCTTGAGATCCAGGACACGCTTTGCTGCTTTCTTGGCCAGAACGTTTTTTCTCACCTACAGTGGCTTTGAGCCCTGCACCACCGTCTTCCCTTTGCCTCTGCCCGAGTTCGGGCTGTTTGAGAAGCAGAGGAGCCCTCGGCTGGGAGTGAAGAAGTGGAGTTCTTTGTGCAGGAAGAGGCTTTTACATGTGCTCGTTGTCTTTTTGAACTACCAGTACAATGGCCTGAGACCTGTGCGACTCTCAGAACTGAGGAGGTCCCCTAGTCTGGCGCAGCTGAAGATCTTTCGGCATCTACGGGGACTTATAGCGGTGAGTGATCGAGCCGGAGATCATCCTTTGCCTCCGGGGAGGTCAGGACCGGAATTTGTTGCAAGACTCATTGAGCTTTCAAAGTATGTCAATGAGAACCACAATTTTGACTTTGGCAGCTACAGTGAAGGTGCTAGCTTCAATGATGAGAAGGTTGGCCAGATCCACCAGCATTTCACGCCTTCCTCGGAGTTTTCACCTGTGCTGCCTTATCGTTCCTTGGATGCTAGTCGTTTGAAGCTCTCTGGAACCGGGACCTGGCCCCTGAGTGACTTTCTGGACGGAAGTACTCTCTGGCTGCCATTTGTTGAGCCACTTGTCCTACGTCATGGGCATCCTTGCTCTTGGCCCGGCCCGAGTTTTGTGAGAGAGACCATTGAGGAGAACTATAAGCTGGCAAAGCTTTGGAGTCTAAAGGGGCTACTAGCTTTGTTTGACAAGCCGTCTGCCTTCTTTTCCCGGGTCTTCAACACCTACAAGAGTGCGGAGGCTGACAGACAGATTGGAGACAGGCGCTTCATGAATGGAGGAGAGTACCATCCTCGGGGACCTTCTGCCGATTTGCCCTCAGGTGTCTTGATGACTTCAGTCCACTGCCCTCGAGGTATGCGACTTGTCGGTTGTGCCTCTGACAGAAAAGATTTCTACCACCAAGCTCAAGTCAGTCGGTCACGAGCTGCTACAAACATGTTGCCTTTTGTCTTCCCTGAGAGGTGGTTTGCTGGCTTCAATGAGCTTGAGGTTCTCTATGCAGAGCTACGGGAGCCCACCAGCAGAGAGAAGCATGGTGATCTCCTGGGAACAAAGAGGACTCCTCTTTTGGTGGGTCAGCGCCTCGACTCTGTCTACGTCGGCTTCAAGAGCCTTTTCCAGGGAGACCACCTTGGGGTTGAGTACGCGCTTCAGAGTCATACCTCCTTGCTCGAATGGGGAGGTCTTCTGCATGAGAAGAGGGTGATCAAGAGGAACCAGCCATTCCCAGTTGGACCGACTTGGGAAGGACTTGTCATTGATGACTATTTCACCCTCTCTGCTGAGAAGGTAACTACGGGCCTGCAAGAAGCCCAGTCTTTGAAGTTGCTTGAGACTGCAGAGGAGATCTACAAGAAGGCTGGTGTCGCTGGCTCTGATGACAAGACCGTTAGAGCTAGTTGCGAGATGAAGGCTGTCGGTGCGGAGGTCGTGTCAACCCCCAAGGTCCTTGGAGCTGGTCTTTCAACAGTTGGTGCCCCTCTTGGGAAGAGGATTGCTTTGGCTTCGCTCTCACTGAGGCTAGCAGCTTTTCCGGTGATATCTCGAGGGATTGCAGCACGTCTCGCTGGAAATTGGACTTCAGTGCTGATGTTCAGGCGGTGTCTGACTTGCATTTTGGATGGCATCTTTCAGCTTGGGAATTCCTCAGCAGCAGCTGCAGATGAGGTTGTTGGCCTTCCCCGCACTATAGCAGAGGAGCTCGTGCTGGCATCAATAGCATCTTTCCTGGCTGTCACAGATGTCAGCGTCCCCTATGATGCAAATGTCTATGCCACTGACGCCTCGACTTGGGGAGGAGCTGTTGTGCAGACAAAGGTAAACGAGCCTGTGGCTGAGCGACTTTGGCTTGGAGGTGATCGGAAGGGAGCGTACACCCTGCTTGATCAAGGGGCTACGGCTACGTTGAGGATCCTAGGAGAGGAGACTGAGGCTGAGAAGGGCCTGGATCTTCCTTTTCAGAGCTTCCATCCCAAGAAGGCCCTTGACTTCTCCTTTGACTTTGTCGAGATCTGTGGCGGCTCGGGTGTGCTGTCGAATGCAATGGCTGCCAGAGGCTTCACTGTCTGTACTCCTATTGATTTGAGTCGGAGTGCAGCTTTCGACCTCGGATCAGAGAAGCTCCTGGATTGGATCTTTCAGATGATCGTTGAGAGGCGCTTCAAAAGCCTCGCTCTCGAGCCTCCTTGCACAACTTTCTCACCTGCTCAGCACCCTGCCTCCAGGAGCTACGAGAATCCCTTGGGCTTCAATCGGAGGGAGAAGAAGACCCTTCTGGGAAATCTGCTGGCCTTTCGGTGTTTGACCATAGCATGGTTTGCGTGGAGGTATGATCTACCCTCTCTCTTGGAGCAACCTCGATTGAGCAAGATGGCTTGGCTCAGTGCTTGGCGCTTCCTGCTATCACTGGGCTTTGAGGAGGCTATTGTGTCTTCGTGCATGCTGGGCTCCATCCACAAGAAAGAGTTTCGACTCCTGATCTATGGCCTGAGCTCGGAGAAGCTTTCAGTTCGATGTACTGGAGGGCACAAGCATGTGAGAATCGAGGGCAAGTACACGAAAGCGAGTGCCATCTATGCCCCGGGAGTAGCAGATCACATCTCCGCTTGCTTCGCTGAGGCTCTGCAGTCGAGGAAGCTTCATGAAAGCCCACCTGTTGGAGGCCTAGAGTCGGTCATCGTTAATGATCTTCTCCTCTCAAAGACTTGGACGACTACATCCGTTTGGGCCTGGAAGCACCAAGGGCACATCAATGTGTTGGAGAGTCACGCCTATGTTGCCCTACTTCATGCTTTGGTAAAGAAGGGTGGTTCATTGCGTTTTACTGCCCTCTTGGATAGCAGAGTTGCAAAAGGTGCTCATGGCAAAGGTCGGTCATCGGCCAGGTCTCTCAAGAGATCCCTCAGGAAAGCCAGCGCCTTGACCGTTGCTGGGAACCTTCATTCATCCTTTGGCTTTGCTCCTACTAGGTTGAATACAGCTGATGCACCAACCCGGCACCGAGATCTTCCAGTGCCCACTACTCACTCGATCTTAGATCACTTACAGATTGAAGAGGTTGCAGCTGTCCATGCCTTGCAGTTCTCGAAGGCGGCGGCCAGTTGGATTCGGCTTGTCTTGCTGGCTTCCATATGCTTCTCTCCTGCTGGAGCATCTCCATCAGCTCCCTCTTCGGATTTCCTTCTTTGGACTTCCTTCGTTTCGTGGACTTCCATCGTGGACTTTGTGACCTTTCTTGGGTCCACTCTTGGACTTTGTGCATCTCTCTCCACCAAGCTCCTCACTATGCTCTTCATCATCGCACCGGCCACCAGTTTCCCGAAGAGAAGTAGGAAGTTTTCGAGCTTCCTCTTTGTCTCTCTCCTTGTCGCCTGCCTCCTGGCAGACGTGGGACACGATGGAAAGAGGGCCTGCCCGGGGTTTAGGAGCCGTTTCGCCCCCTTAGGTAGTTTTCCGGTCGCGCATGCCATGCCGTTGCAGCCTCGGGGAGCAGATGATTTGAAAAGAGCTGGAGCTCGAGCAGGCACGGTCCTTGCAGCTGACAGAGTGCTTCAGCAGCGCACTAGGAACCACCGAGAGAACCTCATGCAAGACTTTGATATTTGGCTAGTTGAGCATTTTCACATGACCCTGGCCGCCTTGTTGGAGTCCAGGACGTGTGACCCACAGCTGGTCAACGAAGCATTGGTTGCATTTGGAAAAGAGATGTTTTTCGCAGGCCGCCCCTACGGCAGGTTTTCAGAGACGATCAATGCAGTGGCTCAGCGGAGGCCTGCGCTGAGAAAGCAGTTGGCCATGGCATGGGACCTGGCTTTCAACTGGGCAGTTGACGAGCCCCGAGAACACCACCCTGCTCTACCTCTCCCTGTTTTGCTAGCCATTTCAGGGCTAGCATTGTTGTGGGGTTGGTCTACTGAAGCTGCTATATTTTGTCTAGCTTGGTCAGGGTTGCTACGCATTGGAGAAGTGTTTGCAGCTCGGAGGGCTGATTTGATTTTGCCCTTTGAAGCTTCGCCAGGTTTTCAGAGCTTGATTCTCCGTATTCGGCAACCCAAAACGAGGGCAAGTGCTGCGAGGCATCAGTGCTCAAGAGTTGACCACCCGGACATTGTGCAGTTGGTGACCTCGGTGTTCAGGTTTGTTGACAAAGAAGCGTTGCTTTGGCCTTGTGCACCGGCTACCTTGCGGAGGAGGTTCGCACAGCTGCAGCAGGCCCTTGGCCTCGAAACCACGCGCCGAGAAGGTTTCTCTCCATACAGCCTGGCAAGTCTCAGGCCGGGAGGTGCCACATTCCTCCTGCAGGAGACAGAAGATTCTGAATTGGTGCGTCGCAAGGGCCGATGGTTGTCCACCAGGGTGCTCGAAGTGTACTTACAGGAAGCTGGCGTAGCTACCTATGGAGCCTGCCTTTCAGAGAAGACTCAAAGCCGCATTTTGCACTTGGCAGGTCACTTCGAGCACATTCTCAAGAGAGCTCTCTTTTTCAGGGCAAGTCACATCCCTGAGAGAGCTTGGCCACACCTTTGGTAAAGCAGGAAAGGTTGGGTGATGTGGCTTCGAGAGTTAGAGGCTTTTGGCCAAAGATGGCTGCCTCGA